AAGATATAAGCCAGAGATGCGAACATGGTACATTTTGTTTTTATATGGGCGACACACAAAAGGCAAAAGCGCGAATAGTAGAATTTTGTGAGGCAGAATTTTAAAATTCGGAACTTTCAAAAGCAGAATTTTAAACAAGAATTATAAAAGTAGATTTAAAAAAGCACAGAATTTTGTTCGAGCCGAATTTTTTTATATTTTGCAGAATTTAGCGATCTAGAATTTTTTTAATGCAGCGTAATGAGACGCTCCATAGTGAAGACCAGTAAATTAGGAATTTAAAATTACACTATCGTAATCCTTGTTTAATAATAAATAATCTATGCAAAAAAAAAAAAATTAAAAAAAAATTGGCGTTTTTCAAAAACTATTTCTAAAACTTTTTTTTATGACGAGATGTTTTATTTTGTGAGTCATAAATTTTTTGTAATTTGTTTTCGAAAACTTATGGTGAGATATATTTAGCAAGGTATTAAAAATCGTGTTTCTGCAAAAATTTAAATTTTATTCCGAAATAATATTTGTATGGCAAGATTTTACTTTAAGGCGACATTCCCCAAGAAAAGGGCGTGGCAATTGTGGAACTAAAGTTAGGAAACCGCCGATTTTATAGCGGATTTCGGCAGAAATGGGCATGGCAACTTTAGAACCAAAGTTTTATTGTGGATTTCGACAGAATACATACATATGTATATTGCGGAACAAATGTATGTAGTGTGAATGTATATTCTGCCGAAATCCGCAATAAAATCTGTGTTTTGATAGCTTTAGTCCTACAATTGCCACGCCCATTTCTAGGGATTTGTCGCCTCAATGAAAAGTCTTCCCGAACAAATATTTTTACTGGATAAGTATTATATCGGAATCCCCAATAAAATTAACATTTTGGCAAAAAACGTGGTATACATATACTCCTGTAATCAGCTGATTAAGTCATCAACACTTTGATCAATTTTGGCAATTTTTCTTTTGTTTATGTTGAAGAGATTCCTGCGCTATGGAAGTAGCAGTTCCAAGTAAACACATACACACACACGTTACGTTATAATTCAGCAATTCGATTTATTTGATGTGTACTCTTTGAAGAAGAAAACGCAAGTAAAGTAGATTTCTGTTGATGCATCATTTTCAAATTTTGACATTATACAAGGTTGCATGAATATGTGAATTGATACAAGGTTTCATTTCAAGAGTTTGTTTAATGTTTATTACATTTCCATAAAAATCCAGCTAATTATAAAACACACAACATATAAATCCACATTTTAAACTTTATGCAAGAATTATAAAAAATTTGCGTAGTTTCAGCTAAATTTTAATTTTTTTATTCAGATTTTTCCGAATTTTTTTGAGTATGAGTTAATAATGTACAAGTTTTAAATAGCTAAAGAATTGCGTTGATTTTTAATAGTTTTTTCCTGACTACATTACAAATTTTTCTTATACATAATATAGTCAAAATTTTTTTTGTATGGAAAAAATGCGCCATGCAGTCAGAAAAAAAAATATTATAAATCAAAGCGATTCTTCAGCAACTTAAAACTTGCACATTATTACCCTAGAATTTAATGGGCTAATATAAAATCTGAATAAAAAGTTGAAAGTTTAGCTGAAACTTTGGAGGTTTTTTATAATTTTTGTATAAAGTTTGAAGTGTGGATTTATATGGTGTTTGTTATATAATGAGCTGCACTTTTATTTAAAAATATTAAACATTAAAAGAAAAATTGCTAAAGTTGATCAAAATTTTGCCGACTTAGTCAGCTGACCACAAGTGTATATGGGGAATTCTTTGAGATAGGGATATTTTTCGTACTGTATCATTGCCGCGACAAAGCAGCTGCACTGCCAAGTGCAGTTTCTATACCTTTGTTAGTACTACTTATATATGTAGTGTGAATATCAGTAAATAGTTATGAATAATAAAACTAAAGCTTTAAATTACTAATTTACTTGCTAAAATCGAGTAAATCAGGAAATTTCTAGTGCAACTCGCTTAAGATCTTTTTATTAAGATATAACTTCTTGAGCTCGGGATTTTCAGAGGCTCATTTGTAGGTTCTGAGGAATAAAAGGACAGATATTAAACAAATGTGCATGTTACCAAATGCGAGAAAAAAGGCTGCTCACAACTGTAACGGAAGCTAGCGTATTTTATAAAAATCGTGTATTTTCTTGTTATAATCGTTGAGCGGTACTTATTTTAGATTTGTGGGTATAAAATATACTTCTTAACTTCTTCAGAACAAGAATTCTAGGTTAAAGGACAACGTGGTACTTACCATTTCTGAAAAATCGTCTTGAGAAAGCGCGTAACCATTGCTTAAATTTATATTTAATAAAGTTTTTTCGCTGAGTACAACCAAAGGCAAAAAAATGTAGGTATATGTCCTGGTGTAATATTTTGTGTTTGTGTATTTGGGTCAGTTTTAAGCTAAGTGTACACCAAGGCGTATTTAACAAGGTGGTGTTGGCCGTATATAAGTAAAAAATTACACTAACAAATTATACGCTGATATCCATACTGTCATTGGTATGAGTTACAACAAACACATCATTTTGATGTAATGGCCTCCACGGCGAAAAACTCAGCTGTCGCCCCAACACCACCTTGTTTAATACACGGTAGAGAAAAAACGCGAGATTTAGACAAAAATCTCGCTAGATACGTGTAAACACTCAATAGAGCTCTACGAGAGACTCACCTACAAAGTCTATGTGAGAGTTATTTAGCGAGACTTTTTCGTCGTGTACACAGTCCAACGGAGCTAGATCGAAAACTCTACAACTCTACGCTCTATTTAGCAAGCTAAATAGACTTTTTGCTCTACGGATACGTATAGTAAAGTCTGGACAATGAACTTCATTACAGATTGTTAAATTTTGCAATGGCTACGACATTAAATCGTATATTCAAAACAAGCACACCATTTTAAGTACATTTAGAAATAGCCAAATAATGTACTGAGAATCATCCTCTTATTTTCATTGGTTTTTCCATTAGCCTCCGTCCTTTGCAAAGGGGCATAATTATTGGTTAAAACATTTGAGCAGGTGGTCTGGCACTCTGGCAACAGTCGTTCACTCTACAAAAAAAATTGTGTAGATTTCCTAGCTACCTAATTATTTGCGATATTGCATGCTCGATTATTCAACGAAAAGTTTTTTTTAAATTTCGGACTTTTTAGAGTGTAATATAGCTGCTGTGGTGTGCGTAAATTTACTACGAAAGTGTGTACAAGCTACAAAATACATATCTGCTATTTGATTTCACCCGTATAATTGTGTAAAGCCGCTAGCACAAACGGGTTTTTCACACAAAAATGTGTAAACGAGAAAAATACATATTCATCGTGTAAATTTACCAAAAAAACTTAAAAAATAAACAAAAATATACTGGATTTATAGTCGCATTTTTCAACAGGTTTTTTAGAGTGTTGCTTCAGTTATCTGCTGTTTTGTCAGAGTGCCAGGTCACTTGCTAGACTTGGTGAATACCGACATACATTTATATAGTAGTTTGGCTGGAACTGCTCGGAGAAACTGTTTGATGTGAGTCCATAAATACACATAGTACCGAAGAGAGAGGTTGCCATGTTTAATTTTTAGGTACATTTGTCTACTTTAAGGTACAATTTTGTCGGCAATTAAGTACAATTTGAAAATTTAATTCTTGTCCATATTGCGAAAGTGTATTTTATGACGTCAGAAAATATGTGAATGCTGTCAAATCGACGAAAGGTTAGCGCTCCGCTGATGGCGCCACCTATATTTTCTACATCGTGGTTTTTATATAAATACAAATATACATACAACAAGCGTTGACAACAATTCGAGATAGAAAGCTAACTCTAGGCGAGAGGTAACTATTGTCTACCGTGTACACAGCTTGTAGAATACGTGATAGATAAAAGTTGAGATTTCTCTATTTTGTCTCTAGCTAGAGTGAATATCTCCTAGAGTTGCTCTACCGTGTAAACCTAATTCAGAGAGGAGATTTTTATTTCAGTAAAACTCTAGAGGCATTTCTCTGCCGTGTACGCTTAGCTTTAGGCTAAGTGTACACCGTAGAGAAAAATCGCGAGACTTAGACAAAAATCTCGCTATAGACGTGTAAACACTCAATAGAGCTCAGTCGACGTGACACTTATTTAGCGAGACTTTTTCACCGTGTACACAGTCCATCGCAACTATTTAGATCGAAAACGTTCTATTTGGCAAGCTAAATAGCGTTTTTGCTCTACGGAGACGTATGGTAAAGTCTTTCACATGAATATCATCACTGTTTGTTAAATTATAAAATTACTACTATGCAATTCAACTTTAAAAAGTTCAACTATATAGCTAAGTTAACTTTAGGATATATATGACGATCTTATACATATATAGAAATGTTAAGCCTGTTTCTTTAGCTTTAAAGCGACGTTAAGATGACGTCTCTGCGATGAGCAGAACCCGAGATATAACGATTTGAAGAAGTATATGATTAGTTAGAATCACGAAAAAATCCAAACTTTGACAGATCAAAACAAAAATCCTCGAATACGTATTAGCTTGTTTCATGTACAGAACCCATAAAAAATTTGTGACACCAAATTTGGTATCCGATATGAAAAAGAATGCCTCAATTAAGTATCTTACAACTAAAATGTGACATGTAGTCGAACTTATGCTTAGAAAATACGGATCTGGCACAGCTATTTAACGCCATTCGAAGTTTTCGCTCCGATACACTATCCAGTTTTTCACAAATGAGCTCACCATATGAAATAACTGGCACTATAAAAGTTTTCTCCACACGTAATTTTATATCCTCAGGAACACAGTCAGCACGTGTGCCATAGCTTTCATAGAACAAAATAAATCCTACTTTAGGTATGGTTTATATGATCCTAACACCCCAAATATGAATGTATTTTGAAACCGAAACTGCAATATTGATATACAATACACGTTCTTAGTTTTATTTTATCTATACCTATATGAAACCTTTTTTGCAGCATCGCGCACGTATGTTTGATAGCTCTGTTTTGGAAACAATGCCAACAACTCCTGATTCCGTTCTCTGGAATACAACCGTGCAATCAACCCCTGGAGTTATTGGTGCTCAAGAAGTTTACAGGTAAAGTATAAAAACTACATAATACATATACATATATAAAATGGAGTCCTAATCTATACTTCACCTCAAGGGATCCACGCCAGCGGAGACTTGCTGAAAAACAGCAACAACAGCAACAACGAAACACCGAAGCTGTTCCAGAGAAATTGTCTTTCAAAGAGAAAATGAAGATGTTTGCATTGGAATCGGGAGAAGATCATACGCCTAAAGATAAACTGAAAATCTCCAGAGCACAAAGAGATATTGATGCGGTGCATTGACTCAAGTACACTCATAACGCATGTACACATCATTATAATAAATATGCAAATTTAAGACGATAGTAGGAAGAAAAATTAAAAGGACAAATCTTTTAACGACATTGCCAAAGTAGGCAATATATTCAAATAAAATTACATTTTAGAACATATGTACACATAAAACAAAAATTTAAAAAAGAAGAGGAGTTGAAACTAGAATTCAGTAGAAAACAGTAAATTTCTATTAATTTAACAATTATCTCATACACACAAACCAATTTAAGTTAGAACATAAAAATATTAACACAAATCAATACTGTGCATTAAGTAAAATGTGAAATATTTTAATTGAGTATTCGAAGCTAAGAAAAAGCTAATTCAATTTTATAATTTTCTTTATGTAAAAGATATTAGGCTTAGGATCGTACGAATACGACGATGTGTGTGTAGTCGAAAAATAAGATGCAAAATTAGTTTACCACTCGAAATATTTACCTACAAACTTTTATTGAAAACAAATAATATTCGTTAACATATATAGGGAGTTCACAAGGTGTTGTATACTGTCGCATTGTTATGGGTCGTATTTTCGTAATATTACTATTATAGTTGGGAACCTTTACGATTTACAGCTACACGACAGTTTACAACACCTTCTGAACTCCTAATAGTAATTTATAGTATTCATGTTATGGTCATATTCGGTTTGAAACTGAAACAGCAAAAAAGTACTATTTTTCTTATACTAACTTTTTGAACAAGTGGTCCAATTACAAACAATTTATACACCAATAAGCTAGTGTGTCTTATTATACACAACCAAACACGTAAAATGTTTATCTACTTATACATGAATACAAATACAACTGAGGATATATTTTATATTCAATTATTATAAATGTATATTTTTTGCAGTCTTAAAATATAACTTAAACCGACGTTAGAAACAAAAACAAAAGCAATGATCATTATAAAAACAAAACACAACTTTAATAAAAAGGAACATAAGAATGTTTCCTTACTAATACATACCTATGGCTTTAATGAAGATATCATGAATAAGGGAACCGAATGGATTAACTATTTAATGTAAAAAAAATAAAATATATTTTAGTAATAACGATGTGTAGAAATTGCAATGAAAAAATGGTTATGTTTAAATAAATCAAGAAATTACGTGCATTCAAGACACAACTAATGTTTTGAGAATTCGTATGGAAATTTGTTGAAGTAGATGGGACATCGATAGTCTGGAAGTATTGTGAACCAGCGATAGTTTTTCGCAACTATCGAGACTATCGAAATTTTTTGTTTTGTCTTTTTCTTTCTTATTACTTCTTCTTCTTTTTTGGCGCTGTAACCGCCTAAGCGATTTTGGCCGAGTTCAGCAAAGCACGCCAGTCGTTTCTCCTCTGTGCCAACTGACGCCAATTGGAAACGCCAAGTGAAGCCAAGTCCTTCTCCGCCTGATTTTTCCATCGCAGTGGGGGCTTTTCTTCTTCCTCTGCTACCACCAGCGGGTTCCGAGCTGAATACTTTCAGAGCTGGAGCGTCGGTGACACATGTTGTGCAAAGAGATACAATAGAGTTGTACTGCCGCCGATGAGTGTGCGAATATCTGACGAAACACAGTGAATATTCGAATGTCTGTTATTGTCGAAAAGCACAATATTTGCCTTTTGATAAATGCAAGCAAAAGAATTAGAAAAAAAGCCATATAAATATGTATTTTTTACTATGTTTTTTTTTTTTTAAATAATTTATTGAAAATAACCGATAATTAGATTTTTACATAACTACTTAATAAAAAAAATAGTTCTTATATTTACATATCGTAGTTTAAAGTACAAAACCGCGTATCAACAAAATGCAAAACCGCGTATCAAGATAATGCAAAACCTCGTATGTGAGGTTGAATAAATTATTTTCTAAAGAGTAAAAACACTCATATTTCCAAATGATTCTCTTTTTTATAAAGCAATCGCATTTCTGGCTGGTATATTTTGGGACGAATGGATAAGGACTGAGCCAAGAGCTTATGTGAGCAAATCCAATTTTTGGCAGCCAATGTCAGTTACGCGGTTTTGCAGAATGACGATACGCGGTTTTGTACTTTAAACGGCGATATGTATTTCATTGTAAGTAAGAAAAGCAACATTTTTCAATAACTAAAATTTAATTCATTCCTACATGCACACTTAATGAAAATAAAAACAGACTTCAGATAATAACATATGGGCGTATGCTCATTTACTTTAATACTTCATTACTGGGTGAAAATTTATCAACTGGACCTCGGCTTCTAGATGTATTCGGATCGTTGTTAGCTGAGGAAGCTATCATTAAATTCTATAAGAATATAGAAATGTGCTTGTTTATAACACTATCAACTTAAACAAAATTATACTTTTAACAAATTTGGAAAGTGTTTTTTTTAGATGCACTTACATCTTCTGCGTCCATTGCAACGTTTTTGCACGATCACTTTGTAGATATTATTCAGCTGGTAATGAAATAGACACTTGTTGCATGCAATGCAAAACGAAAAAGCGTACATTGAGGGTTAGGTTCAGTGTTGCCGCGCCGTCTCAAGAAAATGTATCCCTGACCAAGCCAAAAATGTATCCAAATGTATCCAATTTTCTTTTTTTACATATACATCTCATAATTTGTAAGAAAACCAAACATTTTCATGAAAAAGACATAATTTAACCCATGCTAAGGACTTGGAATACATGTGCATAAAATCAAACAGTTGTAATTTCACTTTATAAAGTACATTTTTTGTGCGTATTTTGCAAAGTAAATATAATAAATAGCAAGTACACTCTAAAAAGAGCATGTAAAACTACTACTGAAAAGTATCTATTTTTCAACAAGAATCTGTATAAATATACGTATAGGATGTTCAGTATTTGATTTTGAACTTGAGATCTTTAAAATATATACATAAACACACAACACACATGTAGAATGTTTAAAATTGCAAAAATTTTCAAACTACAAATACATTTCCTACTAATAATAAACATTACTTTATTTTAAACATTTTATGTGTAAAAGTAAACAGGCAATGATTAATTTTATTACACGGCTTGCAAATTTGCATACATTAAAAGAGGAAACTGGTTACCTCTCTCAATATGCGCAAATAAAAAAAATTTTTTAGTGTATTTAAAGTCTTTTCAGTAAAATTCATAAAAGTTTCCTTAAATAAATCAAATTTAGTTTTTTACACTACATTGAAATCTTCTTTCTTTTTAAATTAACAAATGAAAATATGTGATATGAAAGAGATTACTACAGAAAGAGTTTAATTTACTTTTCATATATCGTCGTTTAAAGTACAAAACCGCGTATCGTCATTCTGCAACACCGCGTAACTGACATTTGAATTTGCTCACACAAGCTCTTGGCTTCGTCCTGAAATATACTAGCCAGAAATGCGATTGCTTTATAAAAAAGAGAACCATTTTGAAATATAAGTGTTTTTACTCTAAAAATTAATTTATGCAACCTCACGTACGTGGTTTTGCATTTTCTTGATACGCGGTTTTGCATTTTGTTGCGGTTTTGTACTTTAAACGACGATATGTATGTATATTAAGATCTTGCTTAAAGCATCCTTTTAAGCTAATTAAAGCAATTGCGCTTATACCTATTTAGGTGAGATCTCTTCATATGTTCATTGCTTCGTTCACAAAAATAAAATGCTTTAATTTCACGCTTAAGTAGCGATTCTTTATACGTTTAGAAAACGTAATGCTTTCTACCATCTTTAATGAAAATCGATTTTTTAACGAAAAAAACTTTATAGGAAATATAAAATTTTGGCGTATTTTAAAAAGTATCCACTTTTATACTGACCGGAAAAAATAAGTATCTCGCAAAAATTCGTCTAAAAATGTATCCAATTGGATCTATTTAGATCCAAACGGCATCCCTGGTTAGGGTTGACGCGGATAGGCACTAATCAATAATTTGGAAAGCCCAAATTCTTACATTTTGTTTGCCTTCTTCATATATCTCCCGGTTTTAACCTACATACCTGCTAAGCTGACCCTTTAGTATCTTAAATATGCTTTTATATTTGTGAACTTGCATAAGCGCAGTTTAATTTAATACATATGTGTGTACGAAATTCGCGTATATTAAAAGAAGCTTTTTTGTAAAAATCCACAAGTGAAAAAAACCCAAAGAAGCTGTTTTTTTATTATAGAAGTATTAGTGCTGCTGCATTCTTCAAACTTGTAGGCACTAGTTTTGGTTTACTAGAGGAAAGGTATCCTCCTTAACAATGCCAAATTCTCTAAAAGAAATCTTTAAGGACACGCTCTTACTAACAAAATTGAGTATAAGGGGATTTTTTTAAATATTCGCAATGTTTTTCGTATTAAATATTTTTTGCTAATTTTGTATTAAAACATGGCTTAGGTTTAACAAACACCATATAAATCCAAGTTTCAAACTTTGTACGTAATTTATGAGTATTTGCAGTTTCATGAAAATTGCAATCTTTTTAATTAGTAATTACAAAAGTCCAGCATACTGTTTTATAGCCCATTAAATTTTAGTATAATAATGTCCAAATTTTAAACTTCTTAAAGTCAGTGTAGATTTTTGATATTTTTTATGTAGGTTGCAAAATTTTTCTTATCCATGTCTCATTACAAAAAAATATATATAAAGCATTTACTAACCAATATGCATATATACATGTACATACATATCTAAATTTAACAGATCTGAAAGTGTAGCATTCGTGAATCAGTGAAAATAACAAAATTATTGCCAATGCTGCACCAACAGGCATCGCTGGCCACATGACTGCCTGCGCAACATTGACCANCGCCGAAAAAATACGCATAAAAAAGTTTACGAAAAAAGGCGCTTAAGAAAAACTTCTGCTAAGAAACACGCGTAACCTAGTTGACGGCGAAGAAAGACGCGTAATCATAGATTTGTACTTGGCCAATGACTGTCACTTCAGCATTATTCCCCAAAAACTATTTACGGAATGTACATAGTAGGTTTGTTCCACACGAGCCCGCGGGTACCCGCGGGGGCCCAAAACAGCCCAGAAAGCGTTCCTCGCGCTAGAAAAATGGGTAATAGAGAGCGAATACGTTCCACTTTTGGATCGTAAATGTCTTCTTCTTTGTGCACAAAACAGCCCGGACTTTTTTCCGGGCACAAATTTGCAAAAGGGCAATTTGAAATAACTGCTGTTGTTGTTTAAATCCGAAAGCAAATTTTATAAAAAACAAAAGTGCAAAATATCACAGAATTTTCAGAAAATGTAGTTATTTGGTAATTTTATTTGCCATATAAGATAAATACACGTAAAATCATTGTTTAGAGCTGATATGTTGATTCCGGGCACGAAATGTGGTTTTTTGCGTTCCTCACGCTCTGGGCACTTTTGGCACGTGTTGGCACATTTTTGACACTTGTGAGAGAGTAACTTATTTTTACTCTCTAATTACAGGAGCAGCCCGGAAAGCGTGGGGAACGAAGCTATTTATTAGCTTGCTCGTTCACTCATGGATGGCCATGACCAGGTATGGGCAGAGAACGAGCACACGCTCAAAGAGCATAACCATCACGTGTACGTATACAAGCAAGAGCGTAACGATGAGAACGCAGCAGCATGCAAAATGAATAAAGCTGAAACTAGTCAAGAACGTAAACCTTCCGGTACGTAAACCCGAGTCAGCTGACACGATCTGTCTTACCAAAGCGCCATGAAAATTCAACACCGCAGAATTTTTCTGTAGTTGTAGCCCGTAGCGCAGAAATCTGCGGAATTTAGATTTTTCCGTGTCAGCTGATTTCTCCTTCTTTAGATGGTTGCCACTTCGTCAGTTTTACAGATGGTAAAAAAGATATAAGTTCCTATTCAAAATATGTTTAAAATATTTGAAATTTACTATTGAATAAGGTTTTTGTTGAAAACTAAGTAGTTTATATTTAGCTAAAATCTATTATAGCACGAAAAATT